TCATGCAAACTTGGTCTAGACCACTCCCCTGTGCTCATGATGAGCAGCTCCTCCTCAGTGAGGTCAGTGATGACAGGAGGAGAACAAGGATTCTGGTCCTGACTACAGCATGCAGTTGCCAGCTCATGCTCCATACAAACCATTCCTAGGGTCAGGGTTTAGCCCAACCCTAGGCCCTGCATATGTCTACCCCACACCTGCCAGGATCCAGGCCTACCGCATTCTTATTCTGCCCTTACTAGTTCTAATCGAAGCTCTCCTGGACTCATTCTGACCTAAAATGATTTTCTTCCCTCTGTCGTAGAGCAGCTGTTTAAGAAAAATTCATTTTTTTCACATAGCCTCTGTGGAATAGTGATCCGACCTGTTAAGTCAGGCCCCCAGACAGAAGAACTGCCTTAGGTTTCAGGCCATGCTAGTTTGTGTCATGAACTTTAGGGCCATCACCACAACACAATGATACCCTTTAAAACACCTCTAAGTTAATGAATGCCCCTATGCATGTCATTATGGTCAGTTGGAGTGGGACAGGAGGAGGAAAGCAAAGGCTGGAGTAGAAGGAACTCGAATTATAACCCCACAACAGATTTTTGAGCTGTGAAATGGTACCCACCCAATCGTATTCTTCCTCAAGACTCAATTTCAGCACCTGAAAAGTGAGGGCCATCATCCCTTTGATACCCAGCTGCTGTGGAATGAGAAAGACTCAATGCTGCAGCCACATAGGACAATCTGAAGATGAAAAGATGCTCACTATCACTGTTGCCCTTTACATACAATGACTTGAAATCCTTGAGATAGTTGGGCTGATGTCAGACTCATAGAGGTAGGCTGGGACATGGGGACTGTAGGACAAGGACACACTGTGATTGGTAGTCTGACTCCTGGAGCTGTCCAGCCTCATGCTTGGTAACATGAGACCTTGATCCAAGCTGACAGGAATCTAGACAGCAGGATTAAACCATAGCCTTTAACATCTGAAGTAGGCAGAAACCTAGAGGCTCTGAGGGTCAGGGCTCTAATTTAATCTCCTCACTGTCTCCTTTTCCCTCTGACACAATGAAGTCAATTAAGGGAATAGCATGTTCTGACAGTTATGCTCTCTCATAAGAGACCTGACTCCATGGTCAGGGAAATAACAGGTGAAGAGATCAAAGTCTAGACTTGGAAGATTCTAACACCAGTGTGGGCTTTCAAGTTGTAAGGTAGCAATACAAGCCTCTTAAAGAGCCTTAGTTTCCTTAACTGGACAATGAGCCCTGTCACCCTTCAAGTACTCATCTGGGTTTCCATCCAGCTCATGAAAAGAAAACTCGCATTTGCTGATCCAGTAGGGGGATCCGAAGACAAAGGCCTTCTCACCATCATAGTTGGTCTGCACACAATGTTGTCTAATGTTTCTGAAGAGCTTGGGGTGGTGCTGGTGTCACAGCAGTAGACAGGGGCATGAGAACCTGGACTGTGTGCACACATGGTATGTGACCTCTCACCTGGAGCTGCCCTGCCTTGTCTTTGCATAAGAATATGTTGGCCTAAAGTTGTCAGAAATCACATGGAATCAGATAAGCCTAGTCAAGTTCAGAGCAGGACAAAGCAACCTTGGGAGGAGAGATTGGTATGGGATGAAACAAGACCAAGGGAGCCAGAGTCATCCTCCAAGAAACACAGCCCAGGCTTTAGTTTTACACATTTGTCTCTGAGCAGGATATCTGAGAGGCCCTGTCTGTTGGACAGAACTCAAGGAATTTCACTGTCTGTGCTGCTGTGCTCTTCAGAACAGCCTTTAGAGTCCCTTCAGTTCTTTCCTTTATGGTGTGAGCAAAGTCTAAGATCAGGGAGACCAGGAAGAGTCTTCAGGATGTGGTGGGTTGAACCCAGACTAATGAATCTCTGAGCTCCCACTACCTACCACATGAGTTCTCAGATCCCAAGAAGCTTAGATGCACATCTCACCATGGGCATGGTGCAGTCTTACTCACTGATGTTGACACCAGTGATGCTCAGGACGAGGTGAAAACCATCAGAGGCCAAAAGCTCCTGGAGTTTATGGGTAGAAAATCCTCATCTACCATACCAGAGGTGATAGTGAAAATGTGAGAAGCATTCAAAATCAGTGTTGAAGGTCAAAGAAGAACTTACTTCCATGCTCACAGATTACTTACTCTTCCTAATTCATTCCATTAAAATTGTTAATTAATAAATATGATTAGACATATAATAATAATATTTATTATATTTCCCAGCTCTGTTTTCTCCCTCCTACGCCTTTCATGTACCCTTTCTCAAATTATTTTTGTTGGGTATACCTATAAATGAAAAAGACATAAATCCTGCCTGATGAGTCTGTTCAGTGTTACCTGCTGTGTAACCCAGAATAGCTTGCACTTGAAGAACCTCTTACCCCTCTCTACCTTCCCCCGAGTGCTATGATTACAGGTTTGTGCCACCATGCCCAGATCAAACCTCTCTTTTTGAGTAATCCTGGGCATTAGTGTAATACCCTGCCACCTGGATGTCCTGGCAGATGAGCCATGTCTAAGGGGATTCAAGCTTTTGGAACACAATTCTGTCTTCTTTCAGTTGGGTTCTGAACCCAGAATTTGAGCAGAGAGTGTTTAGAACAGCAGCCATGAGTAGGATGGGCAGATGATGACAGCAGGCAAGAGACAAAGTAAATGTGTCCTCCTTAGGCAAGGTCAGATGAGGAAGTCTCACAAGAAGCCTTCAGTGTTCCCACTTCAGTGACTTGAGATGAGAGACATCAATGGCTGTGTACACATCCTGTGCTCAGGGCTTCCTGGGTCACCTTCTGATTAGAACCTGCAGACTACATGGCAAGGAAGGTGTAGCCGCTCAGATCTGCCATTGAGACAGGGTGTCTGCATGCCTCAAGATCAAGAATCTTGCCCAGGATTCTTCTCTGGACAACAGCAACAATTGTCCAAACACCTTTACTTGCAAATGTTCATTGCAATGAGTTATTGGTCTGGTTTGAGGCCTCTGGCTTCTGCTATATGATCAATACTGGGACTTCTCTTGGATAGCCTGTTGTTGCCCTGAGTCATGGAGATCCTGCCACTTTAGTTCTGTGGCCCCTTCACCTGCTCCAGCAGCTCATAGGTGGGGTAGATGTTGTGATGGGCCAACTCAAAGCCCTGGATCTGGGCCTGGGTGGTAGCTGAGTCGGTCAGCACAGCAGCTTTCCTGTAGCTAAGCTATTGAGGCCAGCTCTTCTAATTTGCTGAGGCAATGTGCAGCACCAGATCTCTCATGCCAGTACCACTAGGGCCAGCTCTCCCACGCTGCACAGTTGAGTGGCAGGGACATCTCTACTGAGTGCTCTAGCTAGCAAGAGGCAGCAGTCAGCTCAGTTTAGCCTTTGAACATCAACATGGGCCCAGGCAGCATCCCAGACCAAGGATGTCCACAGGGGCTTTGGTGGTAACATGGGCCACAGACATTGTCAGACCCCTGCTGCAGCAGAACTGCAGACCCAGACATGGCCCTCAGCATCATCACAGCCACAGACAGCACCATGAATAGGAGCTCCAGAATCCCAGAGAACCCTGCCAGGACATAGCACAAAATACAGACAGGGAGCCCTGTCCTAGCCTAACCTGAATTTCTGAAGGATCAGCTTCAGACAGTGCAACCTGAGGACTGAAGTCTACCAAAGTGTCTTCTTAATCAGCATTGTAAAAGCCATGGAGCCAATAGGATGTTCACACATGCATGCCCACAGGGGAGATGCAAATTGGTATAGTCATTTATAAAGACAGGTTGGCAGTCTCTTCAGAAGTTCAACACAACACGTGTGCTAGGACTCAGCAATCCTACTACTGTTGATATAGCCTACTTGAACTACCAAGTGTCTGTTCATGCCTTTTCCTGTCTACATCTGGTCTTGTCCTGTCTCTGTGGCATCTGTTATCAGATCAACTCAAACCTGCACTCTACAGTGAGGATATTAAGATTGGGCCCACTAGAGCATCATTATCTGCCCAGGACACACAGGAATGTGTTATTAATCCTGGTTCTCATTAAAATAGACCAAATTGAGCTGAAGTAGTATGTAGGTTTCCACATGTCTCTATTTTGAGACAGTGTCTTGATATGCAGTCAAGCCGGCCTAGGGCTCTAACACTCTTGCCTTGGCCTCTGGATGCTGGCATGAGAGGTGTGCTCACCAGACTTCTTAACCAAACCCTTACAGGTCACTCCAAGCATTATATTGTGTGCCACCACACAATAATTTTAGATTCCTTTGGATGATATTACAAGCAAGGGGCTGCTGCATTTGTGACAAGCCTGTGCTTGCTTAACTTAGAAGACTATGCCAATATGTCTTCCAAATGACTGCATCATTTCTTACTTGCTCTGACCATGTGTACAGTGCCAGTTCCTTCACATCCTAACCTGTACTGGGGCTTACAGGTCCTCAGATGATTGCATTGGATGGTCCTGTGCTTAGGGAGGAGGATGATCTGACCCAAGCCTGGGCTATATATTGAGAACTCAAAAAGCATGAGTTCTTCCTACCAAAGAAGATTGTAAATGAAGCTGACACAGACATGGCAGCTGCTGAGAGGAAAAAGGAACTGAGGGTGTACATGGAATGTGACTATTCTAAGCATCCACCCCATCTGTGTTGTCCAGGCAACACAGAACTCATGATTTTCAGGCAATGATCATGGCGCCATTATGGCTGGTATTCAGTGCATTGAATGAAACACAATGGCTTTGCCCTTGTTGAACAATGAGAACAAGTTCATCAGAGGTAGAAGAATGTGGAGGTCCTAGGGTCTAAAGAACACAAGACACACCCTCTGAATGACTGAGAAAATGCTTGGGGGAAACAAAAGGCATCTGTGAAGACAATGTGACACCATTGTAAATGACCTGAAATACAGCAGACTTTGTAATACTGGGCTTGAAAACATTAAGGACAAAAATGACAGAAGAATGAAAGTTGATTGCATGGAATATGATGAAAAGATGCGTGCGATCAAGAAATCATGTTGCTTTATTAGGATTTGTGAAAGGCAAGAAATCTTTACCATATATTTAGAAGCCATCAGAGTACCAGGGACAGATATCTCTTCTGCTCTACATGCCCGGGCATTCTGTTCTCTCCCATATCATCTCTAGGACACACATGTAGCCAACGTTCTTCACAGATGTGGTATATTCACATAAGTGTAGACTTCACAGAGTCTGCAGAATCCCTGGGCATAAGAACAAATTTAATGTTAGAGAAAGCCCACCTGGGCCTGCTGGTCCACCCCCACTCTGGCCTTGCTTGAGGTGTCTATTAACATAGCAAGTTCAGTTTCTCACAAAAATAGACAATTACAATTTGGAAGGGAAACAGATGAGATTTCCTCTACAGTGATGATCTGTTTGGAGTTTTGCAGAGGCTAGGATGCTCTGTGGCTGACGTCAGAGAGGTCTAAGAGCTGTGCCCTAGAAGCCTGTGTGGATCAAGTTCACCTGCTCATTCAGTTATTTCCCACTCCATAACTTTACAGACATTTCTGCTATTTGCAAGTTACCCAGCTGATGATTATTTCTGTTCCTGAGATACAAGCATTGCTATGTTAATCAAGCTGATATGGAACTACTAGGTTCCTGCAATGTTCCTGTCTCTATTTCTACATAGTCAGGGCCACAGCTCTTTACCACTAGACCTGCTGGTAGTTTGTGATCTATTTGGAACAGCAGTCTGATCTTGTGGAGACGATGGAACCCAGGGGCTCTCATATTCACATTCCATATTGTTACAAGAGCTTTTACTGAGTGGAGCTAACAAAAGATTGGCAGCATTTTGTGAGGGAGTGACATGAAGAGGGTTTGTCATATAAATTGGTGAAAAGGTAACTGTATAGGTTAGGAATGTTCATATGGCAACATCAAAAAGCTTTCCAAAACCAAAACTGAAAACAAAAGCTTTCCAAGCAGGAACTCCACAAGGAGAGCAACAGAACAAGAAAATTTGAACACAGGGAACTTCCCAGAGACTCATACTCCAACCAAGGACTATTCGTGGAGATGACCTGGAACCCCTGCACAGGTGTAGCCCATGGCAGTTCAGTGTCCAAGTGGGTTACATAGTAATGGGAAGAGGGACTGCCTCTGACATAATCTGATTGGCCTGCTCTTTGATCACCTCCCCCTGAGGGGGAAGCAGCCTTACCAGGCCACCATAGAGGACAATGCAGCCACTTTTGATGAGAACTGATAGACTAAGATCAGAAAGGAGAGGAGAACCTCCCCTATCAGTGGACTTGGGGAGTGGCATGCATGCAGAAAGGGGAGGGAGGGTGGGATTGGGAGGAGAGGAGGGAGGGGATTATGGGGGGATACAAAATGAATAAAGTGTAATTAATAAAAAAAATTTTTTAAATAAATAAATAAAAAAGCTTTCCAAACCTCAGGCATGAAGCTCACTTGCCTGTCTTCACACATGGCACTATAGCTCTTTGTGCCTCTCCTGAGCCTGCTTTAGCTCCTGGATCTTCTGGGGCAGAGTCTTGGTCCAGAATTTCAACCTTCTGGCCTTCAGGGCTTGGCCCACAGCAGGCTGGATGTTCAGCTGTAGGTACTGCTCCTCATGGTCAAACACGGGCCAGTAGGGTAGACCCTCGCTGTTGGGGTTCCTGTGGACATGCCACCCCGAAAGGAAGATGAGGTCACTTGATCCTAATTTGGCTCAGGACAGTGAACAAAGTAGGCCAGGGTTTTAAGGGGACTGATGGGGCTTATGTCCTGATATAGGGATGTAAGTGTGACCAAGCAGTTTCAATTCCAAGGCTGTTGTCCCACATGGCCTGTTTCCTGCCTTCTTCTCAAAGGCATAAACTAGAGTGTTACCACAATACTGTGACCCACACACCAGGTCACTGCAAGATGAATAGTAACACACATATAAAAAGTACGCCGTGTGTGTGTGTGTGTGTGTGTGTGTGTGTGTGTGTGTGTGTGTATGGTGACTGGCTATGTGGTAAACTGCTTGCCAAAGTCTGCTGTAAGGAGGGAAAACTCTTTATGTAATAAAGGACCATGCATGCTGAGGAGCCCGCCCCACACAAAGAGAGTCCTGGACAGTGATCCACCCTTGCAGAAGTTGAGGAAGTTGAGGGAGGGGCATCCTCTCACCCGTGCCGTGCAAAGTTGGCCCAGTACTTCATTATCTTTCTGCTGAGTAGCTCCTCCTGCTCAGTGTGAGGAACTGAAGAGAGAAGGACAGGTGCCCATGTCCCAGTCCCTTCATGCAGCTGTCCATTCGTACTTCACACTCACCTTGCCAGCTATCATTCAAGTCTGCACTCTTGGGCTGGTTCCCTCATTCCCTCCCCCACCATCCAGGGTCTAAGTCTCTAGTTGCATTCAACCAGGTTCGTCTTTGCTCTGTTGCTTTCTTATTACCCATAACACAAGGTAGATTAAGAAAGGTTGAGATTAGAATCTAATGTAGGTTTTAAGATGGATGTGAGACAGTGCACACTGGGTTCTGTCTTTCTTGAAAGATTTGATTCTTTCAACTGGATTAAGAACTCATCCATCCTTCAGGTTTCCTTAATGTAAACCATAATGGATACAAATTCAGCTCAAAGAACTCAATGAAGACTCACGTTTTATGCCACAGAATAGGTATCCAAACACAAGGAAAATTTCATCCCCATGGTCAACCTTCACGTGGGGTGGCCTGACATCCTTGAGGAAGCTGGGACGATGCTGGAACTCATAGAAGTAGACAGGAGCATGGGAACCTGGGGTGAGAACATGTGGAGATATGGTGGAGCTTCACCCAGAACTGTCCCTTCACACACTTGACAAGATATCTTGATCTCAAGTTTCTGAAATCACAACAGTTTAGAGTGTAGCTCCAGCATGGAACATCAGCTGTGGGAAAGCTGATGACTCTTCCCACTTCCTGGGAGTAGTTAGGGCAAGTCACAAGAAATCATTCAGCAGTTTCTTCATCTGTACCCAGATATGATGTCACTCTATGACATTCACCATAAGGATTTACTATATAAAAACACTCGGTCATTTGGAAACAGCTATCTGATCCAGACACAGGTAGATTGGCCACCGTCTACCAGATAGATTGGCCACCGTCTATAAAGAGAACAGGATGGCACTGTCTTTCAGGCAGAGAAATTTTCCTAGTCCCAAGATGATGTCATTGGCTCTAAATGGAATACCTTGTTGTGTAATGTGGACACTATATAGCTCAGTTGGGACCGAAGCTCTGAACTTTCTCCCTTATCCATGTTATGGATGCACTCACGCTGAAAATGTGCTACTTGGAGGGCAGGGATCATGAACATGAAGTCCCCCATCATCTCTGTATACTGAGTTTGGAGGGTCTGGGGGTCCTCAGTGTCTCCCATGTACTCTTCCATGAGTAGATCACCACACTCAGGAGGCAGCATCTACCAAATTGTGATGAGAAAGAATAAGGTTAGGTAGTTATTAAGATGGGTAGGCAACATCGTTATGATGAGGGAATACAGATGAGGTCTGGTATATGGGAGTGGGAGGAAGCTTTGAGTGACCTCAGATATACAGGCACAATACAACACACACACACACACACACACACACACACACCACGCACATCTGGGGATGCTATCTGTGAACATTAGATAGGAGTCCTCACAGTTCTGACAGTGCCCCCATGACTCTTACCATCTCCTTGGCTGCTGTGTTCTTCAGAATAGCTGGTAAGGTCTCTCTGGTTATTTCCCTTATTTTCTGTGCAGAGCCCATAATCTGGGTGTGTAAAGAATGGCTTGTCATGGATATGGATCAATAAATCTCTGAGTTCCCATTGCCCACCATATGAGTCCTAGGCTTCCAGAAGAATAGAAAGATGTCACACCATAGGCAGTAACCAGCCATACTCATCATTGTTGACACCGATGATGCTGGCGACAGGGTGAAAATCATCAGAGGCCAACAGCTCCTGAGGGTGCGCGGGTAGGAACACCCCATCCACCACAGCAGGGATGACCTTGAAGACCTGAGGGGCATTCAAAATCAGTACTGAAGGTTAATGATAGGTGTTTTCTGATTCCCAATGAATGTCTCCACCCTTTCCCACTTTCCACTTTGCCTCAAGATGCTCATTCTCCCACAACTCCCTCGTCTCACCCCTGAGGAGACCTTACACTTAGATTAGCTTATGTTGGCATTGCTGCTAGCCATGGAGATTAGGCAATTTGTTCATAGAAACGAAGAATCCCTATAATACACCTTGCCATCTGCCACCTTCCAAGCCACACAGTTCTGCCAACCTTGTTAATAGCCAGAATCTCTGCTTCACTCTTGCTTCTTAGGCAGTGCACCAGGCTCTCTGAGTTCACAGCTGCACAACCAGATAGATTGGCCACCGTCTGTAAAGAAAACAGGATGACACTGTCTTCCAGGCAGAGAAATTTTCCTAGTTCCAAGATGGTGTCATTGGCTCTAAATGTACACCATGTTGTGTAATGTGCATGAGATGGAGCAAGACCAAAGATGTTTCCATTTTCAGTTGCTCAGTATTGACACTGACCTCTCCCCACCACACCTCATCTTACCCATCTTCCACCTAGTGTGAGATTGGTCTCTTTTTCTAATGAAGCCCACACCAGTCTAGCTTCTGGGTAACTTTCCAAAGATTTTCCTGCCTCTGTCTCCCTTATCTCCACAGAAATACCTGGATTAAAGACAAGAAACACCACACCTAGCCACATGTGTGTTCTGGGAATTTGAACTCAGATCCTCACACCAGCACAGCAAGCTCTCTAGTGTCATGTACCATCTCTCAAACTCATACATACTTGGTTGTTTTTTTTTTGGGGTTTTTTGTTTGTTTGGTTGGTTGGTTGTTTGTTTTGCCAATGATGGGCATTTCTAGGTCAATTTGTGAACCGTTACACAAGTTCAGAAGAAAAAAAAACACCAACCAAGCAAACAATCCCCCAAGCCCCCCAAAACCCTGTTGATTATACTCCTTGAATAAGCACTGCACAGGGGGCTAGAGGTGAGGGTTCTAAACACTGCATCTTTAGGAAAGTACTGAAGAGAAGTTACCTCCTGTGGTCTTCATTTTACCTACTGAGCACAGTTCCAGAGTTCTACAGAGTGAGTGCTAAGACAATACGTCAGGGTAGGAGGGGTAGAGTACACTCACACTGTAAACCACCTCAGAGGAGCTGGAGATGAGACCAGGGAGCACAGCCACTCCACTTTCCATGATGGCGCCATGGAATAGTCCTTGAGACATGGGGGACACAACATGTGAAGACACACTTGTGCCACCTGCTGACTCGCCAAAAAGAGTGACCCTCTCAGGGTTGCCTCCAAAGTTGGCAATGTTCTGCTGGACCCAGCGTAGGGCAGCCACTTGGTCCAGGTAGCCCCAGTTGCCTCTAGCATGCTGGTCTCCAGTGCTGAGAAGTTGAAGGAAGAGGAATTATAGAGATGTCTAGGTTCTGCTCAACCCCTAAAGTACAGCTCAGCCCCAGGCTCACCTGAAGAACCCCAGGACTCCCAGGCGGTACTGGATAGCGACCACCACCACATCCTCAGTGGCTACCAGCATGGATCCATCATACATGGAAGCCATGCCTACAACCAGAGCACCACCATGGATCCACACCATCACCTGGGGAAGTCAAGAGAGAATCCAAGAAGCTTCTAGCCAGCTTAAGCTCAAGTGGAGCTGCCTGCTGGATTATGACTGCTTTGTATCTGTACAGCTAAATACACACACAGGACTCCTCAGCATCTTAGACCCAGGCACTGAGGAGAAACCACAGTACCATCAGCATATTTCCAAGCCCCACCATCTCACCGGGAATCTCAGCTTCTATTTAAGTCCAGAGTAATGTCATTAACACTCTCAGACAAAAGTGTGGAGAAGGGTGTTTCCATAAGTGCTTTTTAAAAACTGAATTATGAATAAAAAGGATCACCAACTCTCACTTGCAGAACCAATATCCTATTCTGTAACTCCAGTTCATGTCAGTATTCAACCCTCTGACACATGACAGCCTCTAGGGCTCAAGATCGTTGAGAAATATTCCAAGTTAGTGCATAGAACACAAACTCTGCCCTCTCAAATTTCCATTGCTCAGTGTCCCATACCCAGGGTCCAGCTGCTAATCATGAATGAGAAGGCCTTCATAGACCCACTAGGGAAAGGCTTCTTGCCAGGGTCTACACTGCAACAGAACTCAGTTGTTCTTGTGCCTTCTAATCTTCCTGGAAAGACATCTCCACTCCCACCCAGGTGACCATGGCCCAACTCTCACAGGCAAGTTAGAACCTGGGTGGGCATGCGTTGGTGTGTAGATGTTGAGATACAGGCAGTCCTCAGACATAGAGACAGGAGGCATGATCAGTTTCATCATCTTCAGAGCCTCTGAATCCATCATATCATTTTGTAGACACCTGGTGACAACGGAAGACAGTTAATACAAGAGATGTTTGGTCTTAGTTCAGATTTTCTCTCAGACACCCCAATTCACTTCCCTCCAAGATGTTCTGATTATGCATGATTCCTTTCTAAAGCCCTTTCCTGCCAAGGTAAATGCTACAGGCTCAGGAAAAGCTGGAGGAGGGCCCAATTTCCAGAGAGGACTGCAATTGAGGGCATATATTTTATTTTTTCAGAATCTGGGATCTAGAGGAATCTAGGAGGCTCTATGAGAATGAATTACTGCATGAGGTGACAGTCACCGCTTTTCTTCATACTGTCTAAAGTTTGATGAGATGGTTACATGGAAGGAATTTCTTGTATCTTTATAGAAGCATCAGCTGTCAATAAAAAAATAATGGCGTGTCAGCTGAGGCAGGAAATAAAGAGGTAGGAGTTCTGGAGAGAGAGGGGGGAACTCTGGGAGATAGTAAGAGGCGGGAGATTTGTCCCAGGATTGTGAAGAAGATGGCCATATGGCAGTATTAACCAGCTGCTTGACAAAACTAAGAATAGAATTACAGGGATATTAGTTATGAGCAAGTCAGCCTCACTATATTGACCTAGGCTTTTGGAAATGTATTTAAGCCTCAGAGTTGTTATTTTGGGATCTGTGGTGCAGGAAGAAAACATGAATTTACATGGTTAGTTTTGATTTTCACCTTGAAACAGCGTACAATCACTGGGGAATATAGAATCAGTGAAGGATTGTCTAGATCATGTTAGCCTATAGGGATTTTCTTGACTCATTAACTAAGGTGGTAATATTTCCTACCATGAGGGGCACCATTCCCTAGGAAAGGGTTCCTGGTATGTATGAGCAGAGAATAAAACTGACCATTACGAGGTAGGTATGCATCCTTTGATCATGGGTACCAGTTAAAGATGTGATATGATTCATTCCCTTAAATTTTCCCCTTGTTACATCATAACATGGAACTGTGGCCCATAATAAAGTGGTTCTGTCTTAAACTGCTTTTACCAGGTATTTTATCAAAGCTCCAAGAAACAAAATAAAGATACATGGATACTGTGGTGCTATGCCCACACAGGCACTATGGGACTCAGTGGACAACAATGTCCCAAAGACTAGTGGGATTTCCTTCACCCTATGTCCAGAAACTCTGGGTACCTCTACATTCCACGTAATCTCCAGAGGAAGGTTATATGTTTATTTTAACATTGGAGCTTGGCTCTGTGAGTTGCCTCAGTGACCGTAGAGAATGGAATTGCCAAGGACTTACATAGTACATGATACTTGACTCTGGGCTCTTACTGGTTAATGTGTTGATACTGACCCTTGTCCATAGACCTCTCCCATGGTGGCAGAGATCACTTGGCACAATCTGAATCTGGGAACTGTTTATATCTGTTTCTCACTGCCGAACTGAGAGATTAATCCCTATAGTAACAGATCTTTGACCCAGGAACCTGGAGAACAAGTTCTACTAGAAGACTTAGCCATGCATCTAAAAAGACATGGCAAACTACACATCACAGACAGGAAACTTCCCTGGGGTTGAAATGAAGGAAGTATTTCATTTTGGCCCACAGCTCAGAGCTGAATATCTTCTGTCCTAAACTTACATGGCTGGGTATGAGGTCCCGTCTCTCACACCACTCCATGGTTCAGGGGCCTCAGGAGGTGCAAAGCGCAGGGGTCCTACGGGTGGCTTGGCAAAAGGAATTCCCAGGAAGGTGTGGACAGCAATGTCAGTGTTTTTCACATGGACAAGGCTGCCTCGAACCTGGCCTGTGTGTGTGTTCCTGATGGGGCTGTCTGAGTCCTGGCCTGTGGGTGGAGAAATTACATGAGGGTTAGTTTGGTCCAGGCACCTGTCACTACACTGATGTTTTCCACCTCATTTTCACTAGGGTTCACAGGGAAGGGAATCTGGGGTACCTAGGTTCAGGTGTGGGATGTGGGGGTAGGAATTTCTTTATCTCCCCAAAGCCAGGGACATTGCTCAGAGTCCTTTTGAATGGTAGCAGAGCATAGCTCTGGGTAACAAGTAGACATAACTCAGAGCCACTTGGCACCATGGCTGTGTTAATTTTCACCAGCACACAAAGGTCTGTAGCAGGTACCATCACACACAGAGGAGGGAAATGTCCCGTTTGCTCCCTTTCCCCTAACTGGCAGGTCCAGTGCTCCTCAGACCTTCTTACACTGCAGTGGCTTTTTTGGATATGGGGTCTCCTTAGGCATCTCTGACCATCTGTGTGCTGCAGGGCTCACTCTGTGGGCTTTGGTGGGTGGTTGGGAGGCCCACTCTTCCCACCCATTTATCTGCCATCTTTACCATCTCCTCCATCTCTGGAGCCTCCCCCCTACAGGCTAAGCTGCTGACTCTTAGGAGCTGGGCAGCTCTTTCCCTGTTCCTCATTGCTCACTTAAGGAGTCTCACCTTCTACTTGCAGAGAGAGAAGCAGGAGGCCACAGGCCACAGCATTCAGCCAGCCAGGAGGTCTGTACAGTGTCATGGTCAGCTCCTCTGTCTGAGTCCGTGTTGCTCCAGGATAGCTGTGTGTCATGGACAGGAAACAAAATGTGTGGGCCTTGCCTAGGCAGGAATTTGGACCTAAAATCAAGTAGGCAGGAGACTCGGTAGGGTGGGGCAATGTTCTTATTAACAAAGAAGAGCTGGCCAGCAGACAAGGCAAAGCAATCTTTGTTCCTGATCTTTGGCCTCCTAGACAGCCTTATCATGGCAGCAGGAGTACCTCTGCTATACTGTTCAGCCTAAATCAGTTCAAACCATGATCACTGTCCTTGTACTCCCTGCCCACATGTCAGTGTTGTTGAGGAGGTCAGGGAACAAAACTCTGTGACAGAGGATGCCAGGAGGGATTCTCTGAGTAGCCACATATTGAAGATATCCAGAGAGGGAGAGCTCAGATGTGACCATTTCAGTGATCTTAGGATCTACACAGACCCCTCCACATATGGCTATTTCTCTGAAACACTGCAACCCTGACAGTTTTTAAATCACACTCCCTATTCATTCCACCTCCATAATGTGTTTCCTCCTTTAGCCAGCTCCTGCTGAAATCACCTTCATATTCCTCTACCCAGTCGAGAAACACTTTTAACTATTTCCTGTTTATTTTTTACTTTGCACATGTTTATATGTGTGTGAGAATGCCATGGCACACATGGAGGATACATGTGTGCCAGTCTTCTGCCAGTCAGATCTCTCCTTCTGCCATGTGGGTATGGGGAATCCATTTAAGGCCTCTGGCCTTTTGAAAGTTCCCTTTTCCATTGAGCCATTTCCTGTCCTCCACTTAAGAAATATTTAATTGGGCCCCACTCACTCACACACTGAGCACTCTGTGCCTGGGCTCTCAGAGTCTATGATAAAGCTGAAGACACAGGTCTAGATTGGAAGTTTAATAATCACAAAGAGCCCTGGCGGGAAACACCAAAGAGCACAGGATTAGGAGCTCCCACAATGCCCAGCTGATCTCTTAGAGGAAGTGATGCTGGGATCCAAATAAGTCCGTAGTCTGAGAATTTGCCTATGCTCTGTATTTCCAGACCGCAACAATCTACAAAGCTGTGGCCTAGCAATGCAGAGCTTCTTCCTCACTGATTTTCTGTTTCTCCAAGCATGACGTAGGCATGCCTTTCTCGGTCAATGCTTACTATTTATTCAGCATAGCTGCTCTAAGGCACTCCTGTCTGGGCTTTGGTCCCAGCGTTATTGACTGCTGCTCTCCCTACTCTCAGTTCCTCGAGTAAAGGAAATGACAGGCTGAGGAAATCATCCTCCCAGTTATCCAGCCCTTCACAGCACAGACTGTCCCTTTTATGTGTACTAGCCATGCTCCAGCAGCCGCTCTTGGTCTCCATGTCAGAAGAGATGGACATTTCAAATGGCAGCATGCAAGTACCTGTTACTGAATCATCTGAGAAGCCCATATTACAAAAACAAAACAAAACAAAACAAAAACAACACCACCACCAAAAAAAACGAAAATAGTGCATGTAATTGAACTACAAACCACAGACTATTATCCTGAAAAAATGTCACTCCCATTAATAAACTCAGTGTCCACCCTGCAATCATTGTTGCAAGAGAGCCGTTCTTCAGCCATACACAGGCTCAACCCTGATGGATGCAACAAAGTCTACACTAAGAGCTCACACTTGAAAGCAAACAGAAGAAATCACACATGCAAAAGAAAAGCCCTACAAATGCACCTGGAAAGGCTGCACATGGAAGTTCGCTCTCTAGGATGAAGCAAAAAGACATTTCTGAAAACATACTGGAATCAAACCTTTCTAGTGTCTGGGCTGTGACTGAAGCTTCTCTTGCTCAGACCATCTTGCTCTATACATGCTAATCTGAAAGCCTTGCCTCCACATCAATGTGATGCCCCACTTCTCCTTGCTCTGTCTCTCTTTTCCTGTCTCTCTTGTTCTCTCTTCTCCTGCTGCCCGTTATCTAACTCATTTTTACATGTACACTTTAATTTCTCTTCAGGTAGTCTGAATCCCTGAGTTTATATGATTCAAGACTTCTGTATGGTCACTAGGTGATGCTTTAATCCTCCCTCTCCTTAGCATGGGGCACACCTAAAGAATGATTTTTTCCGGGGATGCTAAGCAAAACCTCCTCGCAGATATGTTTAATGTAATGAGGATAAGAACACATGTAAATGAACGTCCATTGTGTTGGTTTCTCCACGTATTTCTCAAAAGAATTTCAAAGTAAATATTTTAGTAAATGTACAGTAAAAAATAAAATTAAACACAGGTGTGTTATATGATTCCGCAATTCTGATCTCAGCTCTTTAGCCCAATGAAAAGAAAATGTTGATCCCCAAAACCTGTGTTTGAGAAAGTTCCTAAGAGCTCAATTAAAAGTAGTGGAAGTCAGGTCACTCAGGTGAGCAAGAGCTGGGGAGTGGGTAAAATGTTCTATGTGCATACATGAAACATCACTGTTAACCAAGGGACAAAACACTTGAATAACTTGCACCTAGTAACGGGACCAGACATACATGATTCCTTTTCCATGATAGGACAGCCAGCGCTCTGATGTTTTTAAATTTTATGTATTTCCCAAATTGTTCAGTGAGAAATCTGTCAAGTGGTAGCCAGGGAGCAGAGAGCAGGCAATGACTGCTGTGAGGTATCATGAGTGACATTTTTCCAGTGAGGGAAACACTCTTACACTTGCAGTGTGCGTGGTTGCTTTTGTCACACTCTTCTGCAAATTTGCCAAGTTATGCTGCCAAAGGGTAACTTCGACCACATGGAAATCGTGATCTGAAGAGGTCACCTTGAGCAGGGAGAGTGCTGTGGGCTGATCAGGGGCTGCAGGGAGTGGGAGTGCAGATTGAAAAGTGCAGACCACCAAGCCACTGCTGTTTCTCCCGTTCTGATCCGCTCCTGTACCAGGGGTCCAATCAGGCCTGTGTCTGCCTCCCTTTTTAGTCGACCAGATGCCCCACCCCACCTAAACAACTTTCCTGCAGCAGCTTTCCTCTCCAGGTGGCCAGATGGGAATTCCAGACCAGTGTTATTTCCCGGGACATTGACACAGCAGCCAAATTTATCAGTGCTTGGGCTGCCACAGTTGTGTGGCTGGATCAAGGGCTGGCATTGGAACAGTGTTTGGTAGCTTGATTATTGGCTATACCAGGAACCTGTCTCTCAATCATCAGCTCTTCTATTCCATTCTGGGCTTCACCCTGTTTGAGGCCATGGGGCTCTTCTGTTTGATGGTTGCCTTCCTCATCCTCTTGGCCATGGGTGGCTCCATGGTGTCACCCAGCTTTTCCTGCTGCTTTGACTCCATGCCAGTCCTGGTGCTGGAGTGTGCTAAGCTTTAGCATTAAACAACAATGTTTCTCTCAAAAACAAAAGAAAGAAATCATCTGAAGAGGAGTGGATCCAAGATGGGAGTCCTAGCCACATGCCTGTGTGCTGTACTCACAGGCCAGAGAATACCTTCTGAGTACTGGAGCACATAGCTCCAACCTCAGACTATGGATGTCTGGGAGCCATGGGAACAGCCCCAGAGGCTCCTCCAAAGTTCATCCTGTCTCCCTTGGGAGAACATCAACTGGACTTGATGGTTCTTCAAGAGGGCTGCATGTAGCAACCACAGTGTCTGAGCACAGTGTCTGAGCAGCTGCAGCTCATGAACCTCAGAGCAAGTAAGTCAGTGACTGGGCAGCTGTCTGCAGTTCTTCCCCTGGTGAGATGAGACCTCCTGGGCCCCTGAGGAGTCCAGTTTGCCCAAGGATTATACACTTTAACAGAGCTGTGGCAATTCCCTAAATATCACCAGACACACTCACCATTCTGAAGAGGGCTCCTTCGGGTACAACCAGCTTCCTGCCCAGGAGCTTTTCCTTGCCATCCCTACAGCCCAGGACTTCAACAGGTCTCAGAAACTACCAGCCAAAACCTGAAACATCTATATGGGTAAACACCAATGTAAAAACACATCAACAAAAGCCAAAGCAATATGGCATCTCCAGAACCTAGTTATCCAAGGTCAAGCTGGCCGGGATACGCTAAGGCAAGTGAAACCCAAGAAAATGACCTTAAATCTATGCTTATGAAGATGATAACAGAGGAAATGAATAAAATCTGTAAAGAAATTCATGAAGATAGAGTCAAACAGATTGTGGCCTTTAGAGAGGAAATATTTAAATCACTGAAAGAAATGAAAGAAATAGAGAAAAGTTCAAACAAACAGGGGAAGGAATTGAATAAAAGACAGAAAAATACAAACAAATAGGTGAAAGAAATCAATGAACAGTTCAAGATCTGATGATGGAAATGGAAAATTAAAGAAAACACAAACTGAAAAATCCTGGAGAGGGAGAACTTAAGGAAGAAAAAAAAAAGAACTACAAAGGTAAGCATTTTCAACAAAATACAAGAGATGGAAGAAACAGTCTCAGGTATAGAAGATACAATGGATGAAAATGATGTATCCAACAAAGAAAATGTTAAATCTAAAAAATTCCTGACATAAACCAGCCAAGAAATCAAGGTCACCATGAAAAGACAAAACCTAAGAAGACAAACAAATCAATTCCACTGAAATCAGGAACAGGGCAAGGCTGCCAACTCTCTTTGTATCTCTTCAACATAGTACCTGAAGTCTGGCTAGAGCAATAGGACAACTACAGGAGATCAAGGGGATACAAACAAGAAATGAAGAAGTCAAAGTATCACTTTTCGCAGATGATATGATAGTATACATGAATGACCCCAAAAATTCTACCAGGCAACTCCTACAGCTGAAAAGCACCTTCACCAAAGTAGCTGGATACAAAGTTAACAGAAAAATAAATCAGTAGCCCTCCTGTACACAAAAGACAAATGGGCTGAGAAAGAAATTAGGTAAACAGCATCCTTCACAATAGCCACAAAAACCATAAAGTATCTTGGTGAAACTCTAACCACGTAAGTGAAAGACTTGTATGAAAACAAAAAACAAAAACAAAAACAAAAACAAAAAAAAACTTCAAGTCTCTGGAGAAAGAAATCGGAGAAGATATTAGAAGATGGAAAGAGCTCCCATGCTCATGGATCAGTTGGGTTAACATGGT